TCTTGTGATTGATTTCTAGTTTCATAGCATTCTGGTCAGAAAAGATTCCTGGTATGACTTCAATCTTTTTAAATTTGTTGAGACTTATTTTGTGGTCTAATATGTTGATCTATTTTGAGAATGTTCCATGTACACTTGAAAAGAAGGTGTATTCTGCTAATTTTGGATGAAATATTTTGAATAGATCTTTTAGGTCTACTGGTCCAAAATGTCATTCAAAGCCACTGTTACCTTGTTGATTTTCTTTGTATGATCTGTCCATTGAGGTAAAAGTCCCCTACTATTATTGTATTACTATTGATTACTTCCTTTACGTTTGTTATTAACTGCTTTATGTATTTGGGTACTCCCAGAATGGATGGATAAATACTTACAATTGTTATATCTTCTTGTTGGCTTTTCCCCTTAATGATTATATAGTGTCCTTCTCTGTCTCTTGTTACAGTCTTTGCTTTAGAGTATTTTGTCCAATATAAGTATTGCTACCCTGGCTTTCTTTTCATACACATTTGCATGATAAACGCTTCTGCATCCCTTCACTTTCAATCTGCAGGTATCTTTAGGTCTGAAATGAGTCTATTGTATACAGCATATAGATAGGTCTTGTTTTTTCATCCATTTTGTCACCCTCTGTCTTTTGATTGGAATGTTTAGTCCATTTTCATTCAATGTAATTACTGATAAGTAGGTACCTATTGTCATTTTGTTACTTGTTTTATGGTTGATTTTGTAGTTCTTCTCTGTTCCTTTCTTCTCTTGCTCTCTTTCAAGATAACTTGGTTTTCTTTAGTGATATACTTGGATTACTTTTTTTTGTGCATATTACTGATTTTTGATTTGTGGTTACCATTTGGTTTGTATATAACATCTTCTGTATATAGCAGTGTATGTTAAGTTTGAACTCATTCTTTACAACTTTACTTCCCACCTTCTAGGTATATGGTGTCATACTTCATATCCTTTTATTTTGTGAGTTCCTTGACTGATTTTTATAAATATACTTATTTTTAGTGCTTTTGTGCTTCCTACTTTCCTTACTCTAGCTTATGAAGTCTTTCCTTTCCAGAGTCCCCTATAACATTTCTTGCAGGGCTCGTTTAGTGGTCATGAATTCCTTTAACTTTTGTTTGTCTGGAAAAATCTTTATCTTACCTTCTATTCTGAAGGATGGCTTTGCTGGATAGAGTATTCTTGGTTGCAGCATTTTGATATCATGCCACGCCCTCTGGCTTGCAAGATTTCTATTGAAAAATCATCTGATACCCTTATGTGGTTTCCTTTGTATGTAACTGCTTTCTTCTGCTGCTTTTAAAATTCCCTATCACTTCTTTTTCCACCTTAACTACTGTGTATCTTGGTGTGGACCTCCTTGGGTGGATTTTGTGTGGGCTGGGATCTCTGTGCCTAGGTTATCTGGATTTGTTTCCTTCCCCAGATTTGGGAGATTTACAACTATTATTTCTTCAAATAAATTTTCTGCCCCCTTTTCTTTCTCTTCTCCTTCTGTGATCCTATAAGGCAAATGTTATTACACCTGATGGTATCCCTGAGTTCTCTGTTTTCATTTTGAAAAAAAAAAAAAAAATTGTGTGTGTGTGTGTATTTATTTATTTATTCCCCCCTCCCCCCATCTGCTCAGCTTATTTTCTATTTTTCTGTTCTCTAGGTCACTGATCCGATCTTCTGCTTTGTCTCTTCTACTCTTTATTACATCTAGTGTATTTTTAAATTCATTTATTGTGCTCCTTATCTCTAATCGGTTCTTTTTTTTTATCTCATTGTCAGAGATGTCTTTTACTCTTAAGTCTGGTGAGTATCTTTATGATCATTACTTTAAATTCTCTAACAGGCATATTACTTATCTCCATTTTGCTTTGGTCTCTTGCAGTGATTTTTGTCTTATTCTTTTACTTGGGACATATTCCTCTGTCTCCTCATTTTGCCTAACTTCTGTATAGGTTTCTGTGTGTTAGGGGAGACAGCCACATCTGTACTTGCAACTAATGGCCTTATGAAGAAGAGGTCCTGTAGTTTCCTGCTATGTAGTATCCCCCTTTCACCAGAATCTTCCCCTTCAGGCGTGTCTCCTATGTGTGATGTATCTACCCTGCTGTTGTGGCTGAGCTGCTTTTTCCTTCAGTTGTCTGCAATAGCTTCTTTGGCCTATTGTGGGCAGTGTCTACTCCCTGTGATGTCAGTGGGCCAGCCTGGAGATGCCATGGGCTTGACTTGAATCAAACCAGGCATTTGCCAGAGATGTAGCACCAAACTGCAGGGCACTTTCCCTGGTTGTCTCCTGAGAAGCTTTCATTGGTAGGGGTGGGGCCTGAAGTCAGACCAGTTGTCTGCCTCCAGCCTACTACTGGTTCTCTGACTGGTATGTGTGTTTATCTTTCCTTTCTCAGGGGCATGTGACACTTTGGAGTGGTGCTGGCTAATCTGCAGGCTGCTTTCACACTGCCAGGGCTGCAGCGTCCTGTATGGGGTCTGGTCAGGAGTATATTGGAGAGGGTAGATCCACTGAAACACAGCATAGGGAGGCAGGGTGGTGGTGCTAGCAAGTTTTGAGTGCTGCTATTTTTTTGTAGGAGGGGCCCTGAGATGGTGTCTGAAGGGGTGGATCTGTGGAAGCTGATAATTTTAACTATTAAAACTACTAGTGCTAATAGTAACTATGTTTATGGTTACAATTTATTAAACGCTAAGCGCAAGTGTTTATGCTTCACCAAATGCTATGGTGACACAGCTTTAAGGTATCCCAAGTTATCATCTCCAGTTTATAAGGAAGCTGATGCTTAGAAAAATTAAGCAATGTATTATGAATCTTTGAGTTGAGATTTGAACCCAGGCCTACCTGACTCCTGAACTAGTACCTTTATTATCCTGCCTCTAAAACAGAGCTGATTATCCCTTTTCTAACAAGAGAAATTGTCTGTTACTAATCTGTATCACCCAGAATAAAGCTCATATCAGATGCCAAAACAAGTCAGTTAGTTTCTCTGACCCAGGGCTACAGAGAGAATCTGTAATTCCTGTCTACTTTTCACCCCAAAGTGTGACATTACTCTGGAGCCAGTGGACAGGCAAGTGATAATAATTGCCTACATGCCCATCTGCATGAGTGAGGCAATGCTTCATGGAAGAATGCCTAAAAGGGTTCCTTTCCCTGAGAATCATCTGTCCCCCAAAGTGAATAACAAGAACAGCCTCTTTTCCCAAAGAGAGAGATGACTGAGACGGAATATAGGGTAAGGATTTTTTTTCCTTTTTTTGTCTCATTTTAATGCCTTTAATATTTTCCTCAATAAATCACACACATACTTCAAGTAGGAATTGAAGAAAAGTAGGTGAAAGAGAAGGGACAAAAGAAGGAATTGTAAAAGAGCAAATAAGAACTTCCGTGAGAAGTCACCAAGAACTTTCAAGGTCTTCTGGTTATTTAGAGACAAAGGAGAAGGGTGTGGGCATGAGAAACTAGATGAAGTCAAGGCATTAACATTAGGAATAAATACTGGAATGTGGGGAAATATTAAGTATAATGTTTTCTGTATTTAGCTGCTTAAAATTAAGTGACAGATTGTTTCTATTTATTAAAGAATCTACAATCTGTAAAAAATAACTATAATCATAATTAAAACAATCATGTGCGTGGCACTTTACATGTTGTATTTCATATAATCTAAAAAGCAGCCTTAAAATATAGGCTGTGTTTTAAAGCTTGTTTTATATTTGGAGAAACTGAGCCTTAAATGAGGTTAGTTAAGCAACTTGCTTAAGGACACCGCTAATAAACTGACAAAACAAATTTAGAGCCAGGAACTTTGATTTCATAGACTGAACACTTATCTTCTATATTCAGTAGTCAACAAGTAATGTTTTCATTTCTCTTTTCCTAATAAGGTTCTGATATAATTTTAGACAACTTTAAGCATTGTCCTAGCAATGTATGCTGGCTGGATTCTTAATAAGGAAAATAACGAATAACTCTCAGGAATAAAATGCTACATCAGTATCAAGTTAGTCAACCATTAGATGTTAGGGGTCTCTGTGCCCAGTGCTATTTCAGAGTTTGATCTCATAGAAAGTATGAATGAATTCAATTCCAGAGTCAGTTCTAAGTTGGAAAAAACTAAAAGGTTTTCTGAGCATGGGAGGTGCTTCCTGCTGGCCATCAATCCAAGAAGGAAAACTGGCAGGAGTGATATAAATATAACCAATGGTTTCAGCAGTGGAAATCAGTGTTTCCTCAATGTTGAATAAGCAACTGATAAAGAGCATAGGGCCTGACTCTGACAACATAGATGCATCTTAAGGACATTATCCTAAGTGAAATAAGCCAGTCACAAAGGTCAAATACTGCATGAATCCACTCTCAAAAGGCATCTAAAATAATCAAACTCCTAGAAGCAGAGAGTAGAATGGTGTTTGCCAGGGGAGGGGGAAATGGGGAGTTGTTATTCAATGGGTATAAAATTTTAGTCATGCAAAATGAGTTAAGTTCTACAGATTTGCTATGCAACACTGTGCCTATAGTTAACAATACTCTATTGTGCATTTAAGATTTGTCAAGAGAGTAGATCTCATATTAAGTATTCTTACAATTAAAAAAATTGCTCTTATGAATGCAGCATAACTTTGATATGACAAATATATTACAAAGAAAGAAAGAGACCAATATTGTATATGAAAACAAAACAAAAAAATGAGCATAGGGCTTGATTAATTGCTAAACAGACATCCATAAGCCCAACCACATGTGTCACTATTCCCAGCAGTAACACTGAGTTCAACTTGGGAGGTAAGAAGTACAAACAAATTCCACATCCTTCCATATTGTTTTGTGGTGATGTCTTTGATGAGCTTATACCACTGACAGCTGCACAGTTAACTACACACATAGGACTTCTTTTGTTTTTTAATCAGAATGCTGTCATGTGAGGCATAAGAAAAATTATAAAGCCTTTAGATTCCTTCATTTCAAAAACAAGTAAAATACTTACATTATTAACAGAAGAGCATACTGGTTTCGGTCCGTAAAATCTTTGGGAAAGGACAACTGTAAAGGAAGTTCTTTTAAAGAAAGAGCAAAATATTAAAGATGGAGAGTCATTTACATGTAAAACTATAAGATGCAGAGAATGTTGTTCTTAAATAACATAGCATGCACAAAACTTTACCATAGTCGTCAATGTGAAGCATTTTAATTTCTGACTTTACTATCTTCTTCTTCAGGATAGCTTCCTTCAGCATGGAATTGCTTTCCAATATAAAATATTCTATAAATCAAAAAAGTTAATTTACTATGTGTTGATCAGGAATCAGTGCAACACAACAAATAATCATCCAGTGATTATCATTTGGCAAGCACTGTGTTAGGCACTGATTAAACTCTCATAATTTCTCTCCTGGTTGAATTACTACAACAGTTTTCTAACTGAGCTTTCTTATTCCAGTGAAATGTTCTTTATTTGCCCTATTCTTGGAATTAGCATTTACATTTTCAAAATGCAAATCTGATCGTTACTACTCTGCTTAAGAATATTTAAAAGAATACAGACTTATCTAGCACCCAGTAAGATGACATTTACCATTCTGGGATTCCAATACAAAATTATGAGGCATGTAAAAAATCAGGAAAATATTACCTATAATGAGTACAAAATATAATCAACAGAAATAATGCAAATGATATAATCGACTGGCAATACCATTAAAAAAGAGAATATAATTATATCCCATGTGTTTATTAAGGTGAAAAAAATAGGCATGAGGATATTGGGAAATATGAATGAAATTTTTTAAAAAGACAAGTTAAAATACTAAAAAATAACCGCAAAATCTGATATTCATAAAGACAATCTAAGATTAAAAATACCAGATGGGATTAATAGAATATTAGGTACTGTAAAAGAAATGATTAATGAATTTGAGAATATAGCAATAGCCAATATTAAAAAAAATCGAAAAACAAATTGACAAAACATGAAACAAACATCAGTAACTTGATGGAATTTTGATTGATATACTAAATCTATAAATTTATTGGGAGATTTGACATACTGAAAAAAGTGAGCCCTCTAATCCATAAGTATGTATGTATATCCACTGTGTCTTTAATTTCTCTCAGTCTTGGGAGAAAACAATCAGTCTTTCAACATTAAGACATTATAGTATCAGTTGTAGTATTTTTATAAATTATGTTCATCTAATTAAGAAATTTCCTTTCTATTCTTGTTAATATATTGCTGTGTTAACTGTTTTCCAATTTTATCAAATACTTCTAAATCCTCAGAGTTAACAGTAAAATAAAGTGAATTTCATTGATTGATTGCTGAATGTTACAGCAATCATGGATTCTTCAGGTAAACCCCATGTACTCATAATATATTATCCTTTTATAAATGGGCAGATTTTACCTGCTAGTATTTAGTGAACTTTGTATCTATATTCATTAGAAAAAAAATTAAAGATTTTATTTTTTTTAAGTAATCACTACATCTAACATATGGCTCAAACTCACAACCCCATGATCAAGAGTCTCACACTCTACCAACTGAGCCAAATAGGCATGTGCTGCCCCCTTTTTTATTTTTATCCTTGTAAGGTTTATGCTGGATCTGGAATCTGGAATGTTGGGCTTATTTTTTCTGAGATTTTGTGTAAGTTTGGTGTAAATATTATTGAATATTGCACAGAATTCACCATTGAAGCTAACTGGAATTTTCTTTGTGGGAAGAATATTAGTTGAAAAATTTTTTAGTAGGTAATATTTATATAGTGTATTTCCTCCTGTCTGGTTGTTTAGCAATTAATGTCTTTTAAGAAATTTACCCACTTCATCAAAAATGTGAAATTCGCTACCATAAAATTACTTAAAATATTCCATTACTATCATTCTAATGTGTGTAGGATCCATTATTAACATTTGCATTTCATTAATGAAAATAGTGATAGTGTACATTTTCTGTGATGAGTTCTATATAGAACTTTATAAATTTTATTGATCTTTAAAAAATTTTGCTTTTATATATTTTCTCTACTGCTAGTCCGTTTTCTTTATCATTTATTTCCACTCTATTATTTCCTCCCTTCAACTTAATTTGCTCTTCTTTTTCTATCTACTTAAAGTGGAAGTTTAGATGATTGATTTTAAAGTTTTCCTTCTTTAAATAGCAAGATTTTAGAGCAAATTTCTAGTCAGATTGTAAGGTACCTCCAAATTTGAATTAGTTATATTTTCATTTTTCTGTGGCTCAAAGTATTTTCCTAAATTATTCTTTTATCTGTGTATTATTTAGAACTGCAAGTCTGATAACAAAACATTCTCAGCATTTCTTCTGTATTCTTTATTTTGCCTTCACTTTTGAAGGCTGTTTTCTAAGATCATTTATTCCAGGTTGAAGATTATGTTGTCTTCTCCATCATCATTTAATAACTTTAATTCCAGTATACTTAATGTACAGTATTATATTAGTTGCAGGCATGCAATATAATGATTCAGCAGTTATTCAGTGCTTGTCATGATAAGTGCACTCTTGATACCCTTCTATTTCACCCACCCCATCTCCCACCCACTGTCTCCTGGTAGCTATGTCTGTTTGTAGTTTTTGGTTTGTCTCTTTTTTCCCTTTGTTTTGTTTCTTAAACTCCACATATGAGTGAAATCATATGGTATTAGTCTTTCTCTGACTGACTTCGCTTAGTATTATATTCTCTAGTATTATATTCTCTATATTCTATTCCCTAGATCTATATTCTCTAGATCCATGTTGTTGCAAATGGCAAGATTTCATTATTTTTTATGGCTGAATAATATTCCATTGTGTGTGGGTATATCACATCCACTTTATCCATTCATCTATTGATGGACGCTTGGGCTGCTTCCATAATTTGGCTATTGTAAATACTGCAATAAACAGAGGGGTGCATGTAGCCTTTCAAATTAATGTTTTTGTATTCTTTGTGGAAATATCCAGTAGTGTGCTTACTGGATTGTATGGTAGTTGTCATTTTAATTTCTTGAGGAACCTCCATACTGCTTTCCAGAGTGGCTGCAACAGTTTGCATTCCCACCAACAGTGCATGAGGATTCCATTTTCTCCACACCCTTGTCAACACTTGCTGTTTCTTGTGTTGCTGATTTTAGCCATTCTGACAGGAGTTAAGTGATACTTCGTTATGGTTTTGATTTGATTTGCATTTCTCTGATAATAAGTGATGTTGAGCATCTTTTCATGTGTCTGTTGTCCATCTGAATGTCTTCTTTGGAGAAACGTCTGTTTATGTCTTCTGCCCAGTTTTTAAGATTGAATTGATTGATTGATCTGACAGAGAGATAGAGAATGAGCACAAACGGGGACATGGCTGGCAGAGGGAGAGAGAGAAGGCTCCCCACAGAGCAAAGAGTCCGAATCCTGAGATCATGACAGGAGCTGAAGGCAGATGCCTAACCGACTGAGCCACCCAGGCACCCCGTCTGCCCACTTTTTAATTGGGTTATTTGTTTTTGGGGTGCTGAGTTATATCAGATCTTTATATATTTTGGATACTAACCCTTTATTGGATATGTCATTTGCAAATATCTTCTCCAATTTTTTTTAGTTTTGTTTCCTTCACTGTGCAGAAGCTTTTTATTTTGATATAGTTCTAATAGTTCATTTTTGCCTTTGTTTCCTTTGCCTCAGGAAACACAATTAGAAAAATGTTGCTAAGGCCAATGTAAGAGAAATGACTGCCTGTGCTCTCTTCTAGGATTTTATTATTTCATGGCTCACATTTAGGTCCTTATTTTGAGTTATTTTTGTGTCTGGTGTAAGAAAGTGGTCCAGTTTCATTCTTTTACATGTAGTTGTCCCATTTTCTCAACACCATTTGTTGATGAGACTGCCTTTTTTCAAATGTATTAGCTTGCCTCTTGTTGAAGACTGATTGATGACCATATAATCATGGGTTTATTTCTGGTCTTTCTATTCTGTTCCTTTGATCTATGCATCTGTTTTGTGCCAGTACTATATTTTTTTGATCACTACAGATTTGTAATATAACTTGAGGTCTGTAATCGTGACACCTCCAGCTTTTTCAAGACTGCTTTGACTGTTTGGGGTCTTTTGTGATTTTATGCAAATTTTAGGATTGTTTGTTCTAGGTCTTTGAAAAATGTTCATATTTTGATAGAGATTTCATTAAATCTGTAGATTCCTTTGGGTTGTATGGACATTTTAACAATATTTGTCCTTCCAATCCATGAGCATGGAATATCTTTCCATTTCTTTGTGTCCTCTTCAATTTCTTTCATCAGTGTTTTTTGGTTTTCAGAGTATAGGTGTTTCACGCCCTTGGTTCATTTTATTCCTGTGAATTTTATAATTTTTGGTACATTTTTAAATGGGACTGTTTTTTTTTGCTGCTTTATTATTAGTGTATAGAAATGGAACAGATTTCTGTATATTGATTTTCTCCCCTGCAACCTTAAATTCATTTATCAGCTCTAGTAGTTTTGGGTGGAGTATTGGGTTTTCTATATATAGTATGTCATCTGCAAATAGTGAACGTTTTACTTATTCCTTACCAATTTGGATGTTTTTCATTTCTTTTTGTCTGATTCCTGTAGCTAGGATTTCCGGTATTATGTTGAATTAAAGTGGTGAGAGCGGACATCTCTGTCTTGTTCCTGATCTTAAAGAAACTGCTCTCAGTCTTTCATCATTGAGGGTGATGTTAGCTGTGGGTTTTTCATATAAGGCCTTTATTATGATCAGGTATATGCTCTTTAAAATCTACCTTATTGAGGGTTTCTATCATGTTGTACTTTGTCAAATGCTTTTTCTGCATCTATTGAAATGAGGATATGGCTTTTATCCTTTATCTCTGTGATATGATATATCACATTGATTGCTTTGTGATTGTTGAACTACCCATGCATCCTGGCAATAAAACCCACTTGATCATAGTGAATGATTTTTTTAATGTATTATTGGATTTGTTTGGCTGGGATTTTGTTGAGCATTTTGGCATCTATGTTCATCAGCGATATTGGCCTGTAGTTCTTTTTTTGTAGTGTCTTTATCTAGTTTTGGTGTCAGGGTAATGCTAGCCTCATGGAATGAAGCTAGGCAGATTTCCTTCCTCTTCTGTTTTTTGGAATAGTTTGAGAAGAATAGGTATTAATTCTTCTTTAAGTGTTCAGTAGAACTCACCTGTGAAGCCATCTATCTGGTCCTGGACTTTTGTTTGTTAGGAGTTTTTTGATTAGTGATTCAATTTCATTGCTGGTTTT